CAAAGGATCACCATTAAAGTTGACACGGATCACTAGAGTTATCACATGGGTGTGGGACTTGACTTTTCTATAGATCCATGTCAAATTTAATGGTGATCCTTTGGATTCCTACACACATGGGTGGGGGAGGGTCCTATAGGATCATTTCTCATATTTGAAATACTCCATCAAATTCCACATAGCTGATGTTCAAAATAGTGACTTGATCAACTAACTGACAATGACATTATTGTTCATATGAAAACACCGTGAACAATGGATGTTTTTCTATTACTCCAGCTTACCTGATAAATACTTCTAGTAACATTAGAAATGCTTATATTAGGTTGTGAACAGTCCGCGGCAGTTAATAATAAATTCTTTGTTTATTCCTCTATCCATTAATTATTCCTTGTACTGTTGAGACACAGGTTTTTTGCATAGTTTAGTAACATTGGAGGACAATTTGTGAACAGCCATATTTTGTTGCCGAGACGACAATGCCTGGAAAGAAAGGTTTTGACTTCACTGGCTCATCAAGGGCTTTCAATGTCTTGGCTGAATACCTTTTTGGTAAGGTACATTAATGATTGTCATAGTTGTGCATAAGAAAGTATAATCATAGGATTTGATGGTCATATGAATCAGGCTATTCAAAACAGCATTCTGATGAATATTTCCTTTTCAGAATACTACAAGAGAAGCAATGGAAATGACTACACCTGTTTATGTTAAGAAGGTTCAATCAGACGGGGAGAAAATGGAAATGACAACCCCGGTGATAACGAAACAGGTCAATCTTTGCCTGCGTGAATTTTACTCATTTGTTTATTTCAATAAATTAGAGCCTAAATTAATTAGTAAGTAGCAATGTCTAGTTGTGGTCTATGTTCTGATTCCACTGAGTTGAGAAACTGGCTTATTTATGTAGTTTTTTTATTAGGAGTGTGGAAATTCCAAGTCAAAGTGCCATATTTTCATGAATTACAATTCATATTTGCTAGATATACTGCAAAATTAAACACTAACATTCAGCACTAGCAAGTTCAAAAGGATTGGAAGTCAGTTTCACTCTTAAAACATCCTAGTATTTCAATCTCATGGCTGTAACCCTTCATATTTTATGTTGCGTGTCTATTGTTTACTCTTTCCAAGCCTCACTGCCTTGGTTTGGAGCTCTCAGTTTTACTGTCTAGATTGTCATTGTTGGTCAAATCCCACTTTCACTGAAAAAGCAAAACAAAATGAATAAAAAAGAAATTTGAGGAAGCTGCTATCGATATATTTTCAATTGAGATTTCACCATTCGGAGAAAAGGGAGCATGTTAATCTCTCAATGAAAAGACTTCTCAATTTGTAATTCTTGCACAATCTAGTGTACGTTATTTCAACCAGCGACAGGAGTTCGAAGAGATAATACTTCAAACTGGAAATGAAGATCAAAGTGAGAAAATAAAAATCGCTTGCTTGCAAGCTATTGCAAGGAAGGTGTGTGTGTGTAAGAGAGAGAGAGAGAGAGAGAGCATTTCCTTGATTTTGCTTTTTTCTTGTTTTGATATTGTTGTGTATGAGTTCCAGTCTGGAGAACAAGGGGAGTGGCAGATGTCATTTGTGATGCCCTCCAAATATGGTTCTAATCTGCCATTGCCAAAGGATCCCTCTGTGAGGATCAAGCACGTGCCTGGCAGAACATTTGCAATTACTGCTTTTTCAGGTACATTAATGCCTTTCCTTTTGAAGAGTGATAAATTCCTAGCAACCTAACCATTCTTTCAAAAACTACTTATTGTGGTTCCAAGCAAATGTATGCTGAACTCAGAAGGAATTTAATGAACTTATACGTATTCTTTTTTGAAGTGGCATGGGCTTAATAGACTCTTAAATGAGCTTGTTATTAGCACTGTGAAGCGTGAACATCCTACTTTTCACTCCTTGCTCATGCACATGTGTTTGCTTTGCGTGCTAGTGTTTCTACTCCAATAGGCAAACAGAGAAAACATGAGAAAAGAACAAAATAACCTTTCAATTTAATTTTTGCAGTACAAGAGTACATACAAAGGGAATGGGTTTATGAGTTTCTCAGATCTGGTGTAGCTGAATCCTTTTGGACCTCTCGTTTTATATATTATTGGGGGAAGCCCTCTTGAAGGACGTACTCTGCTGACAAATCCAAAGGAGGATTGAACGCAATCTCTCGCGGGCAATAGAGTCCTGTCTTGCTTGTTTTAAGTGAGAAGAGACGGCGTGCCTCAATGCCGTTGTTGGGTGATACAACCTAACGAGGTCGATCTGCTCTAAGATGTCTTTCTTGGAATTTTAATCCTCGTCACTTGCCTCAATTTCCTGTTTTGATGTTTTCAGGTATAGGGTTTGTTGGGGGGAATCCTAGGTAATTAGAACTTCTAGGGCTTTTTTGGGTAAATTTTGGGGGTTTTTGGTAATTTCCTATTTTCTAGGGGTATTCTCAGAATTTCAAATTTTGGGAAAGGTTAGTTTGAGTTTGTTGATTTGTTTCTCCCTCGTAAGTTTAGGTTCCTACAGTCTCTCAGTAGGTTCACACTCTAGATTCTCCTCTAGATTCTCTCACAAGGGTTTTCAACCCTTTGAAAATGAGGGTTCATGGCCTTGTATGGAAGGCTTGCGAACATGGGTGGATAATCAATAGTGGGCCTCATTGATAGGTGGATTTATCAGAATTGGCTCGAGCTACCACCGAAATGAAAATTTGGGAAGGGCCAGGCTTGGGAAATTTCATGTTTTTACCCTTGAATAGCTTCTCTCCAATCCCCTATGTTTGACACACTTTGATTTTTGATTGATTTCTTCCACAAATTCTTAGAGCATCTTCCCATGATCATTTTCCTTAACTCCAAGATTTAAAGTAGTTATAATCAAATTTGCAGATTTGGGCTCAAAGCTTGAAGAATTCCTATGCCTCTTGCAAATTCCTTTGAATTTCGCCTCTTTTAGCCATTATTCGATGATCCGTCATTGCAAAACTGTGAGGAACTCCTTGCATCATTTAACAGAAAATTTGGATTAAAAAACCCTGAGAATTAAGGAGTTATAATCAAATTATCGACCCTTACTACAAAATTTAGTAGCCACCAGTTTTTGGGCAACTTCTCTCTATGGTCTGACCCCCAATTCTGTTCTCAACACCGTAAGAAGTTACATGGATGTTTAGGGGGTTGAATGAAGATCATTCTGTAAATTTCAGCTCAAAATTCTTCATGGAATGTGAGATATGATGCAAAAAGTGGATCAAGGTCATTGGTACTGCCATACATGAAGCCACTTTCAATCCCTTACATTTTCTGTTGATCTAGCTAGATCCATGTTAGTAACGCTCTCGATATCTATATCGATGGAAAGTTCTTGTGATGGGGAATATGATATCAAAATTGGAGCCCATTTGGTCTTGGGAATCAAGAGAGATGATCAAATCGTCAAAGCCAGGAAATTTGCTGGAAGTTTTACCCTTCTCTTCTAGAAGCTTGTGGTCTTTTGGTGGGCAGCCTGTAAAACCATACAAGTGTAGGATAAAAAAGTCAACACCCAACACAACAAAAATATACAGAAATTTAGAAAATATACAGTTTAGCACTCAACACAACACTCAACACTCAGCACCAAGAGGAAAGAGTCTTCAGTCGTCATTATCATCATCATCAGAAGGAATATCAATAGGGCAAGCTTCATCATATGCATCAGGGTCGAGGCCAACATCATCAGAGTCATCTCACTCTTCAATATAACACTCGTCCTCCTTTGTTTCTTCTGAATCTGCGTCTTCCCCCTCCTCTTCTTCTACCTTTCTCTTACTAGTATGTGCAAACTATGCAGATCCGGCTCTACCTTTTTCTTTGTGCTTCTCTGAATTCAAATATTGTATAATTTCCTCCTTGATAGCTTCAAGAACATTTTTACACGGCGTAACATCCCCCTTAATACCGACAGGGTGTTTTTTAAACCGGTAAATACCTCCATTAGTATCCTTTCTACAATAATTACATTTAATACGATTTTTATCATTTGGATTCATGTTATAACCATACTTCCAACCCGGATCACCACTTCTAGAAGAACCTGGAGAAAATACTTCCAGAGAACAAGGCTTGTTTTTATCATTTTCTGGTTCTTCTAAATTCAGAAGATGTCTAATCTCATCCCGAACTACTTTAGGAACCTTTGTACAAGAAGCAACATTACCTCTAATATCAGCAAGGTGTTTTTTGAATCGGCTAATACCCCCATTGGTATCTTTTTCACAAAACTTACACTTTATACAATTTTTATCATTTGGTTTTGGGTTGTACCCATACTTTCAACCCGGATCACTTCTTTTAGAAGTAGCAAACATAGAGCTATGACAAGGATTTTGTTCTTTTTTTTGTTTTACATAACTTATATATTCCTTAATTTCCTCTCTGATAACTTCAATAACATTTTTACAAGGGGCAACATCCCCCTTAATACCAGCAAGATGTTTCTTAAACCAGTTTATGTCTCCTTTTGTATCTTCACAAAAATTGCATCTAACGCAATTTTTGTCATTTAGATTTGGGTTGTATTTATATTTCCAACCCGGATCTCCACTCGGACTAACTCCTGAAGAAGACATTTCAAAATAAAAGAAGCAATCTAAAAAATAAAGTTTTGCACTTACTTTGATTGCTCGAACTCCAAACTTTGAGGAAAACTTCGATCCAATGAAATGTAGTTTCTAGAGGTTTTTTTCTCTCTAAAAGGGGTTTTTGTGGGTTTAGGTTTCAAATGAACTTAAAACCCTTCCTTCTATCTTTTTATATCTTTAAAAAAAAATCAAAACAAAAAAAAGAAAAAAATTTCCGCCTCTGAGCGGGGTGCAGGCACTGAGCGGCCGCCTAGGCGGGTTCCGTACCACCTAGGCAGCCGCCCAGATTGGCCGCCTAGGCCTGGGCGATGCGCCTAGGCCTTTCGGACCGCCTAGGTGTTGGCCGGTCCACTTTTTGAATCACTGAGCTTGGGTCATCAAGGTGCCCACAATTTGACATGGCAGAGCAACGAATTTATGAGGCAGGTTACATTCCTACCTACTATACCCATTAACATGTCATGAAGAGAAAAAAATTCCCTTTAAATTGCATCCAATACATTTCCCTAGAACATCTTCTTTATTGATGTTATTTTATTTTATAGCTTTATCGTCAGTGACTTCTTCCCTTTGTTGATGAATAAAAATACGTTTGGATGTTTGTTGTTCTCTTTACTTTGCTGATAACTAGTGGTCATCTTCTTTGTCCTCTGTTTCTTTGATAAATATTTCATACAGCTGCAATTGATCCCTACCATGGTTTACATGATTACACCTTTCATCCCTTACCATAGTTTACATGGTTACACCTTGATATGATTTTTTCATGCCTTTGGGTTTCTGTTTATACAAAATGTGATATGAACTTACTTTCTGCTTTTTTCCAGGCTTTGTCACTGATGAGGAAGTTAATTGCAGAGAAATAAAACTACGCAATTCTCTGAAGAAGGACCCACAATTTCAAATCAAACAGAATACATCGGTGGAAGTTGCTCAAGTAAATATTGAGTTCTCTCTTACCAAAAAGTTACAAAGAAAAGAAACCAAGAGTGATCCTTTCTTTATTAAACGAACATTTTCTTGAGGTTCCTTTTGTTATGCAGTTTAATCCTCCATTTACGCTGCCATTTATGCGCCGAAATGAGATTTCTCTAGAAGTTGAGAAGAAGGATGCTCCTGTTTAATGCAGTTGGATCCAGTCTACCCACTCTTTGTTCATACTGTAAACTGCTGTACTGAAGTCTCTGTATGTATTTTATGTGTACTTACATTGCTTATAATGATGTAGTGGGTAATGCTTAATCATATATGAATTTCACATGAATTACATGGGTTAAGTTTCTAAGATAGTCTCCTCTGAGAGCTGGTGTTTTGATGATTTTATTTCTGCCCCATGATTGGAGATCCATTTTCTTATTTTTTTCTTTTTAAAATTTTCCTGTGATTTCTCCAACTTGTCATGTCGTATAGTGTGGAATAATATGTCTGCTTTTTCCTTACGAGTAATGCTTCAAAGGGTTATCCTACTACAAGTGCCAAGTTACTTAAAATGTTGTGCAACTTAAAACTTTTTATCTATCTATATATATATAGAGAGGAAAAGTTTTCCCAACGGCTATAGGCGAAAATGAACAGTAATTTCGTCTATTTTCATCACCGTCCAAAGTTCATCGCATGGTCACGATTGTTTGACAGTGTTTTATTTTTCATTTATTTTTTACAGATCGAAATGATTTGAAATTTGGAACATATGTACATCATAGTGAGGTGCAGCTAATAAAAGTATAAAAAAAATAATTCGGGAAAAATAAATTTATAAAAATACCTTTAAAACTTTTCGGGAGTATTTTGGTCAATTTTTTTTATGTAAAATATTTTTCGTAGATTCGTCCATTTTTTATGAACACACACTCAAAATTTTAAATCATTCCGATTTGTAGAAAAAAAATTGAAAAATGAAACACTACCGGACAGTCGTGACTGTGCGATGAACTTTGGACAGTGATGAGGGTAGGCAAAATCATTGTTCATTTTTGCCTATAGGTGTTTTGTAGTATCTTTTATATATATGTAGGAGTGTGGTTTCTATAAGGTTGCAACATTAAACAATCCTATTTCGAGGAGAGTGTCTGATTGCATGGCATTCTGAAATCACGCATTTTCAACAAAGATGCAAAATTCATGAATCACATTTTTAGAGATCTTTGTGGAAGTTGATGGGAATTGAGTTATGTTCTAGTAGTGCTTTTATCCACAAACTGATGGACAAGTAGAGCTAGTAAAAAAGAGCTTGAAAATTTATTATGAAGTTTGGCAAGAAACAAGTTGAGGTAGTGGGAGTTCTCTTATTGCAAGCTGAATTTGCTTTCAACAGGTCCCACAATCAAACTACTCAAAAAATTCTCTTTGAAGTTGTTTATGAATATAACCCAAGTAGTGCCAAATATGATGCCAGTACCTTATGCATGGAAATTTAGGAACGAAACCAAATTAAAAGCATCGATGAGGGGTTAAGAAGCAGATTGAAGCCAATAATGCTAATTACAAGGCTGTTGCAGATACATCACAAGCTAGTGTTTGAAGTTGGTGATTATGTTTGGATTGTATTGTTCAAAGACATTTATCCTATTGGGAAGTATAACAAGCTCAGCAATTGGAAGATTGCACCATGCAAAATTTCAAAAAGATCAATGACAATGCATATTAATTAAAACTATCAAGCTATATGAAGACTTTCGATATTTACAATGTCAAGCACTTAATTCCTTTTACTAGATATTCTTATAGCGACGAATAACTTAACTCGCGGATGAGTTGTCTCCAATCAAAAGAGGATGATGCAGTCAAGAGGATCTTGCTAAATTATTTTGACCTATTAGATTAGGGAACATAAGAAGGATTAACGAGAAATTGTTGTAGTTTTTTTTATTTTTATTTTCTAGTAAATCTCTATTTTTTTGAATAAAACATTTTTGAGATAATAGAATCTATTTTCTTTTTCTTTTTTTTTTAAAGAATAAATTCATTTTAGAAGTTCCGTTTTATACAATGAGGCCATTTACTTTTGGTACAGGGAGGTCACAATTACTTACAATCATCCGATGTGAAATATGATAGCTTGGATGTATTATAAAGTTCGACAAAAATTCTTTTGAACATTGAGCTTGGTCAATGAAATAAATACAGCCACCCAATTTCACATCCAATGGTCAAGATTAATTGTGACCAGGTAAATAATCTCATTATATACTCTCTCTTTTTATTATTATTAAGGTGTTTATAAGACTCTTATCCTAAGGATAAGGACGTGAGATAATACAGAAGGTTAACTTTAGGTAGTGAGGTGGATTTTGACGCTTTTAGAAGGCGGCTTTTAAAAGGGCAAGCAACGTCATCTCAAAATCGAACCAGAACGGTTGACCGAACATGGGCCTGGAAGCGGTTTAATCGGCCGATTCAACCGTTCTAACCCGACAAGTCCTGGGGGGTAAAAAAAGGCATTGAAAAAACATAAGAAAATACCAAAAACATCTACTAAAATATAAAAGGCATATAAAAATTATTAAAATAAAACACATTCAAATGAAGTTGAAAATTGATGAAAAAAATGGATTTTAACCCATTTTATAACACATTCAAATGAAGTTGAAAATTAATGAAAAACATGGATTTTAACCTATTTTATATTTTCCAAGGGCTATTTTTTAAATTTTCTAAAAAAGATTGGAAAATATAAAAGTGAGTATTAATTACCAAAAATATGTTTAATCTTTACCATAATGTAAAAAATATTTAAAAATACATTACAAATCAAATTCCTTATTTTTGAGAATTTATATATATATTTTTAACTTTTTTTTAAAATATCTGCTGATCACCATATCCGCCCAAAACCGGAACTGGCCACTGGCCGATTCCGATCTAACTGGGCGATTAGCGGTTAGATCTGGCGATTTTACGAACAATGGTAAAGGGTTTTACTCGCTGGCAGAAAAAAGATTTTTGATGTAGAAAGAAAATTTTTAAAGTACAGAGAGTGAGGGCTTCCTTTTCTTTTCTTTTTTTCTTGTTGGCAGTGCTTGGTGGAGGTCTTGGATTTCTTTGTCCTTTTCTTAGTAACCTTTTTTTTAGTTGATTGTTTTTCCTTTGAAATGCGGTTGTAGTACTGGTTATTGGTTGTCGTGACCGCAACTGCGTCAGATAAATACAGCTTGGGGATGCACCTTAGTTTATTGTTTAAAGCAGCGTTTTAGAAAAAGTTGTACTAGATCAGTAATCGGGGGGAGGGGGAGGTCTAGTTCCCACTATATATAAGAACTTGCTGGTTCCTATAGGCCCAACCAGTACCCTGACATAATGGCCAATTCAGCCCAATCATTTTTTACTATTTTTTATAAACTTTTCAATTTTTTCTCAAATTTGTACCTTTTTTTTGCCCAGTTCTCTAAATTGGATCGCCGATCCGGATCAGAAATGGAAAGGGTTGTTAAGTTCCCACCATAGATCAGGAACCTGTTAGTTCCCCTATGGCCCCAACCCGTTCTCTAAAAGAACGGCCAATTTGGCCCCACCATATTTACTATTTTTTATAAAATTTTCTCTTTTTTTTTTCCTCAAACTTACATTTTTTTTTTTTGCCTAGTTCTCTAAGTTGGAACCGTGATATGGATCTGGAATTAGCGGTGCCGGTCCGGTTCCCACCATATATCAGGAACTTGTCAATTCCCCCTATGGTCCCATCCAGTTCTATGATAGAATGGCCGATTCAGTCCCACCATTTTTTATAAAACTTTTCATTTTTTTATCAAATTTATAATTTTTTTTTGCTTAGTTCTTGAAGCTGGATCACAGATCCACCAATCCAAACCAATTTTGATTTTGAGATTGGCGATCTGAGTCACTAAACCATGTATTTGACCATTGGTTTAAAATTGGTGCCTTATACAAACAGCACCTGAAAGAAGGGATTGTATACTATGATACTGTTTCTCTTGTTACAAGGAGGTGAAAATTATTTCAAGCCATTAGATGTTAAATTAAATGGCATAAGGTATGTCACGAAGTTCGAGAAAAAAATTTTGAACTCTAAAGTCTTAGTCAGTGACACTCCTACAACCACTTGATTTGATATTTAATGAGTAGAACAGTCTATTTGTATAATTTTCTTGGAAAGAAATTCAGGACTATAAGTACTTTAAGGGAC